GAAGCAGTTTAGATGTAAGTTGCTCACTTTGACAGTGGGCCCTTTTTCTGGGGGTGGGAGTGGGTGGTAAGAGGTGCCGTTGCACTGCCGTTGCAAGAAAGATCGCTGCAGAGTCTAAGCAACCTCAGTTCACGGGCCACAATGCTCAGAATTCCCCCAACCAGCACAGGTGGTGGTCATGCTTCACAGAGAGATGCTGCAAAGGTGTAGCCCATGCCTTGGCCAGGTCTGTAACTGCTTCCAGAAGCATACTGGCTTTTTCTTCTTGTGTGCAAGAACATTATTCACTTTGACTTCTTGGAGCCATGAAGAGCTATTCGCAGCTCCCGAGCAGCAGAAAAGCCCCACTGGCTTGTTATCGCTGTAGCTGTTAAGTGGCTTTGAAAGCCCCCTGGAACAAAAGGGAAGTCAAGTATCCCCCCAGACCCTCTTCATTGCTTCTGGGTCTTTCTTGGCAGGTTGGTCCATCACGATTCCGTGCCCCAGAACTGCTCTTCCAGCCGGACCTAATAGGGGACGAAAGTGAAGGGATCCATGAAGTGCTGGCCTTTGCCATTCAGAAATCAGACATGGACCTGAGGCGGACACTTTTTGCAAATATCGTCCTGTCTGGGGGATCTACGCTGTTTAAAGGTATGGTGTTCCCTGGGGGAGGTAACTTCATGCCATGCCCTGGCCAGCGTCTGTCCAGCTTCCTTGGGGTTGCGGCTGGATTCTCACTGCTGATGGATGAACTCTGGTTGATTGTACTAAACTTCTGACTTTGGATCTTATCTACATTATAGCACTGAAGGTGTGCCTCCCTCTGGTAATCAGTCATTTCCATACTTCTGAGAAAAAGAAGTGGCATTACAGGCTGAATTTCTGAACCTCCTCTGCCCTTCCTTGCTTTGTGGGGTAACTTGGAAAAGCTGCAGCCTTTAATGTTTCTAATCAGGTTCCCCTTGAACTTGGGAAGAATCTCTTCCTGGAGACCTCATTTCCGCAGGATCCTCTGGGAAGCTGTCCTTGCTCTGAAAAGGCAGAGTTGTACATTGCAGACTTCAGGCTGTGGTCTGCAACAGCAATGATGGGATACCTTTTAGGTCTTCTGTCGGGGAAGATAGCAGTCTCTTGACTGATGAGCAATCTGATGGCTTGAATCGCCTTGTCTCTCCACTCTTAAGGTTTTGGGGACCGGTTGCTCAGTGAGGTGAAGAAACTTGCTCCAAAGGACGTCAAGATTAAGGTAAGGAAAGAATGTAAAGCCCCAGCCCTAATTTAAAACTTGTCTGCCGTTCACACTGTTTGGAGTAACAGCGCCCTGGGCAGTGTAGAATGCTGGGAGGTGTCGTTCGAAAACAGAACTCAGATGATGGCATGCAGAAGCCTGACATGTTTCGGACGGGACCCCTCTGACAAAGCCAAAGGACACGTTACCTTCGTCTGAGCACTGCTCTGGGCACTAAATACTGACAGGCAATCAAGGCACCATTTTAAAAAATATGCGGGCCACACTGATGCCTGCCAACATTTGTTGAGGATCTAGTTGCAGGCGAGAACCAAGGGAAGACATTGTGTGTCGCCACTGTAGTCCGTAAAAGCAGAAACATCCCTTGGCTTGCTGTGTCCTTCTGTCTTTCTGTGTGTTCTCCTTGTGGATTGAAGGGTCAAGCATGGTCAAGACTTTGCTTCTCATAGTCATTTTGGATGCTGCTTTTTTTTTAATACCCAGAAATTGCAGATATGGTCTGAAGGGTAGGGCAGATTATATGTTGTGACCATTGAGACTGAGAGAGAGAAATTGTGTGAGAGCCCATCTCATGACCACTGAAAGTCTGCAGTTGATCTGATGCGGTTTGTGATAATGAGGGTTAGAAATTTGCTAGTTAAAATGAAGCAGACCATTTGGGGACTCTCTCTAGAAGCTACCAAATCTGTCAGAGGATGCATTTCCTAACGTGGAGGCTTGGAACTCTGAGCATGAAGGAAGTAACAAAAGGCCCTCTTCCAGCCGGAGGCAGGGGAAATAGTTGCTTTGTCTAATGCTAAATGGTCCTCTAGGCTCAGTGTGTGAGTCTATGTGCACATACCCCCAGCTGCATGTGCACACCATGTGTCTTGACCTTTGTGTTTCTCTTTGCAGATCTCTGCTCCTCAGGAGAGGTTGTACTCCACGTGGATTGGGTAAGAACATTCTGCCAAAAAAAAAAAAAATTTAAGTACACCCCCACCCCCCCAGGCTGGTAGGCATCCAGGCAAAAGCTCCAGCAGAGCACAGCTGGGGCCCTCCCTCCTTCTCTGTGGAAACCTAGGGCTGTGGAATGGTGGCTTCTCTCATCAAGAGATGGCACTCAGCATTCCATTAAAAACAATAACAAAAAGAATTCAGCTGGGTGGCTCTTTTCCGGTAGCAGAAAAGTTTCCCGTGCTAAAGTTGGCTCCAGACTGTTTCAATCTTTGCCCCTTACTGTTGGGATCATGTGCCCTGAAGTCCAGTGGTTGGAGGGGACTCTGTGGCAGACCCCTGGGCTCCCTGAGCTGTGCCCAGATGGCAGTTAGACAAAACCTGTAGTAGGAACAGCATCTGCGTTTGCCCAGGAGCTGGGTTGTAGCTCAGTGCCATAACACCCGCTGTGCATGCAGGACCTCCCAAGTTCAACTCCAGGCCTCTCCAAGCAGGACCAGGAGAGCAATCTACGAGAAAGCCTGGAGTTGCTGCCAGTTAGAGGGGGCAGCATGGAGCTAGTGGGGCCAAGGACGTGAGATCCAGCGTGAAACGGCTCCCTGTGCGTGTTGAGAACGAACAAGGACCACCCTCAGCCTTCTTTCTTCGCTTCCTAGGCTGGGTCTCCTCCGTTTGTTGTTCCTGCAGGTTTGGGCTGTGCTGCCCCTTCCACCTTCCCTGACGGTTCTGTTTCTTTCCCCCCCACAGTGGCTCCATTTTGGCCTCGCTGGACACGTTCAAGAAGATGTGGGTGTCCAAGAAGGAGTACGAGGAAGATGGCTCCCGGGCCATTCATCGAAAGACATTCTAGGGCAGGGGAGGGGGGCGGCGGCAACAGCAGCAGCAGTGGCAAAGCAACTGGTGTCTGTGGGCGACTCATCCAGGTTGTGTCTTTTCTCTCTTAACCCTTTCTTGTCCAGGGCTGCTCCTTCCCTGCCGGCTGGGGCTGCTTCCTGCCTTCCTCCTGGGCCTCACGCTTTCCTGTCTTAGTGCCCTGTCCCATGCATGTTGTTAGCACGCACCCACCCCAGGGGAGAGAGGGGCAGCCTATGTTTTTGAGGCCTTGGCCGCGGCGGAGGGCCATGGCCCCAGCCGGGAAGGGGACTGGAAGCTCTGTTTGGTACCTCCTGATCCGTTCCATAGCATCACTGTTGCTCTTTTGATCTGGTGCGTGCTGTGTGCCTACAGGGGAATCGGAAACCTGCCTGCCCTGGCGAAGGGCTGCGGGCACCTCCCGTCTCTCCTCCCCCGTGACGCAGGATGGAGGCCCTGCATGCTCTGTGGTTTGTGGAAGACATCTTGGATGTTGACAAGTCCCTTGCTGTGCCCCCCCCCCAATATCCCCAGGAAACAAACTCATCTATTAGCTGGGCTGCCTGGGTCAGCTGCAGTGCTTGCTTGAAGCAGAGGGAAGGCACTGGCCAGGGGCTGCCTTCATCCTCTTCCCCCTGGTCAGATCCTAAACAATCCCCTGCTTGGTGGTGGAGGCCAGAAGAGAACAGTGGGCCTTCTCCAGCTTGTATTTTGGGGGATGGGGGCGGTTTAAAGTCAGGGGGGGCTCTCTAGCCATCAGTGCCAAGGTAGTATCTCATCCAATAGCCTGCCCACTGTCTGTCTTCTCTCACACACCTCTCCTTGTGAGTTGGATTTTAAAAATCGGGTTATAGTGAGGGGGTGGGTATCTTTGGGCAGAAAGAGGTGGGCTTTTGCTCCAGCTGGGAAACAGGGCAAGGCTGTTCCTTATCTTTACTCTGGGCTGTTCCATTTAAAGGGAGCAGGGTCTGTTAGATAGAAGCCTTGTAAGGCTTTACCGAGGGGAGGAGGGCTCTGGGGATGTGTGGTGTTTTTAAGCCAATGGCTCCTGCAGTCAGTGCTGGCCAGAGCTTGAACATATGAGCAAATTTTTTGTTGCTAAGAAATCATTTTTTTCCCTGAGCTCTAGGTCTGGCTAATTATAAAGACAGAAACGCCTGTTAGCTATAGAAGCTGTTGCTGCAGTGGAGTTAAGGGAGAGAGGTAGAATCACAGCCACTAAGCTCCCGTCCTTTTTGAGAGCTTCAGGCAACGCGGGGGGTGTTAGAGGGTCTGGAGAACTGGATATTAAACAGTTGGGGCTACAGAGAGAGAAAGGATCACCCTTAGGTGGCATTTTGGGGAGAGGAGCTGTCCCTTTGCCTTCCTGCAGTCTTTGCCCTGAGGTCTCTGCTCCAGCCCAGCTCTTCTTGTCTAGAGAGTGGTCAGCAAGAACCAAGGGAGTTCAGGATGACCATTTGGTCAGAGAGGAGGAGATTGTGGGTCCAACTCCCATTATCTCCCTACTCTTTTGATTGAGAAATGAGACATGCATACCACAAACTCTTACTTTTTTGAGAACAACAGGCAGGGCAGTCCGTAATGTCTACTTTGGCTTTTGGTTACTTGTTTGGAATGGCGTTTTCACGCATTGATTTATCTTTGGGAATGGCTACCCTTCCCATCAGGTTAGTTTTCTGTCTGTGTAGAATTTCACTTCCTTTATCTCACCATTTTCTCCACCTAGGGCAGGGCCGAACAAAATGCAGCCTTCCAGCTCTTGTTGAACCACAGCTCCCAGCATTCCTCACTGTTGGCTGTGCCGGCTAGAGCTGCGGTCTTGGCAACACCTGGAGGGCCACCAGTTGCCCCTCCCTGACCTAAGTCCAAGGCTAGTTTGGGTGATCCCTTTTTTGCACCTGGTGAATGGCATCATGCCAGTGTCCAGACTGTGCGTCTCAAGAGACAAATATCCACAACGGTTCCACAGGTGTAAACACTTGTCATGCTTTTCAAGGCAGCTAGAATATCAAGCAGGATGGGACTGCAGGCCCCTGGCGTTCCCATGCCAGCCAAAGAAAATAGCAGCCGAGAGGTTGGGAAAGTACCAGTCTTCTCGCTCCTGGTGCACTGCAGAGATGATCTTTAGCCTTGGATCAGAAAGGGTTAAATCTTTTATTTTTTTTATTTTTAAATAAATGGGTTAATTTAAAAAAGCAAACCCCTGCTCTGGAGGGGTGAGGCTGTATCCCTCAAGGGCCAGTGGCTCTTGTCCCTCTAAGCCAAGCGTGTATGTGTGTTGGCTTCTCCATCTTCTCCACCTACAATGATCTATATCAAATGGAGGCACGGTCACCTTCCCCCCCCCAAAAAAAAGAAACCACCTCTCTGGGCTGCAATGTACAATAATTTAACACAGTTGCCTGTATTTTTATTTTGTAAATTCATTATAGTAATAATTATAAATTAACAGCCAGTGGCGTTTGCATGTGTCTGAGACTGCTCTGTTGGTGTTCAAGGCCGGCGTTATGTCTTTACTGTGCCAAATTCTAGCCACAGATCCAGGGACGGTGCAGCCACAGAGGCTTTGCGCTTCAGGTCACACTCCGTGCTCCTGCGAAGCAAATTAATGACATGGCTGGAATTTTTACACAAAGCATCATTCTAAATTTTATTAGACACAGTATGGTTCTACCAAAATGCGTGTTTTTGTAACACGAAGTCTGGGGTAAGGTCTGAGATGATGAGAACGGGCAGGAAAAGATGGGCAGTAGTAGCTGTTGTGAGGTAGTTTCTATTGTTTAAGTCCAGAATGTAATAAGAATCCTATAGGATCAAGACAATGAGCTATGGAGTTCAGCATATCCTGTTACTCATCATGGCAAATTAAACGCATGAACAGGGGTGATATTTATGTACGTGGCCACAGTCGTTCTAAGTGCGCTTGTCCCCTTGCTACTGGCATCCATTTAAGCAAAACAAGCAGGGCCAGCGATTCAGCTGCAACTCTTCTTGGTTTCATGAAGCATAACCTATGGCCACCCGGAGTTTCGATGCCAGCAAAATCTGGATGGCTGAACTTTTCCCACCTGATTTGGACATATGCTCTGTCAAATAACCCATTGCTATGATGAGCAGTCGCCAACTAAGGCAGATTCCCAGAGGAAGGGGCTAATTCCTCTTCAGGTGGTTGGTCATCCCATCTTCAGGTAACCCCTTCTAGCCTTTAACACTGTTGTGCATGATAGGCTGCTCCTGTCCCTGCATCTCCCTCTGTTCAGCTCCATGCAATCATTTTGGGTTCAGACACTAGAAAACTGGAGTGTCTCCCAAGTTTTTAAGAACATGTGGAACCCACCCCTCGTGCTCAGCTCTACGTCAGAGGAACAGCAGCTGCAGGGGAGTTTGCTTTCCTCTTTGGAGGCTGGAAGAACACCCAGCGGCCAGCTTGGAGGGAAGCACACTTTATCCCCAAACCCAAAGGGGGGCTGAGGTGTGTTGCTGCAAGTCACTTTGGAGGGTCACTCTGAACAAGGTTGGTGCGGCAACACAGCCCTGGGGGCCCAGTCGCCACGAGAAGCTCTGCATCCATCCTTTGCAAGAACCGTGGGAAGCACGGACAGTTTCCATCAAGGGGTCCGCCGAACAAGGTGGTGGTTGAGGATCCACCCTCCGCCTACTCGCTCTAGCAGCCTGTGCCAGCCGGGTGCCTTCCCATTCTGCAGTACTACCACTCCCATCCTCACAGGGGGAACTGGGCTTTTTGGGGTGTTTGTGGCAGTGGTGGGGAATCCCACAGAGTCACTGGCTGGAGAACAAGAAGTTCCTGATTCAAGCATTAGATTTTGTAAATACTGTAGTATTTTCTTGCACCAGAACTCCCAGAATCCCCCAACTGATTTGTGCACTCTGGGAGTCGTAGTCCAAAGAGGCATTTTTTCCCAAGTTCTGGTTTGAATGGACCCTCAGCGGAATTTGGAAGTGCCCCCACCCCATGGAGAGGGAAAGAGCCCCTTTCCCATCAAATTTAGCAGCCCCAAACCAAAGGAACGGTTACTCGGGCGGCGCTGGCGCCCTTCCCCAGCCTCCGCCTGCTGCCATGACAACACATCGAGAGAGAGCAGCCGCTCTACAAGCCTATTTCCCGTCACCTGACCGCCTCTGTAGCTTAGACTTCCGGCGTTTACTATTGTAGCCCACCGCGGCGCGCGCCACCTTGTGGGCGTGGCCATCGTAGGCCCCGCCCCTACGAGGTTCTGCCCTCGAAGAGGCTGGGGACGTTACATCGCGGACTTGGGGGAAAACGGCCAGAAAGTAACGCTTCCATGCCTTCGTCCCCGGGGCAGCTTCGCTTCGCGGGAAGCGCCATTTTAAGAAAAGGGAAAAGAAAACCGCGTCCCCTTTTAACTCTTCCCCCCCTTTTACCCTTTTTGGGCTTGGATCGTCGGTCCTTAGGAAAATAAAATAAAATTAAAGGTCCAAATGCTTAACCAGGCTGCAACAGGCCGCTCTCTGTGCTGGAGTTGGCACCTCAAGTCCCATTTTCCATGCCTGACCGTGTCCTCTAGCTGGCCAACGATCTTGCTCCTCCGTCATTTACTTCGTCCTGTGGGGGCCATTCAGGAGGAAAAGCGCCCCCTTTGCAGTTCCCACCTCTTCGAGGGCAGAAAAGAGCCCCCTTTCGTGGTCTGCGGCAATAACACCACATCCTTTGTGGGGATCAAGCGTGCCTCCCTGCAACTCTTTATTCCCATTTAGGAGCGAGGCCGGTAAAATGAGAGCTTGCTGG